CTCAGTCACAGATTCAGTCACAGATTCAGTCACAGATTCAGTCACAGATTCAGTCACAGACTCAGTCACAGACTCAGTCACAGACTCAGTCACAGACTCAGTCACAGACTCAGTCACAGACTCAGTCACAGACTCAGTCACAGACTCAGTCACAGACTTTTAAAACAAAACCCAATCAAAAAAAAGAAGCTACTATCACCATCACCGTTCCTCGGTCCTATTTTTAAGAAACCTGGAACCGATCACAAAAGAGGACTGTCCACTTTTGCTCGGCATATAAATTGCCATAGCAATAGTTAAATAAACTTGGTTGTTCACACATCATGACATAAAACTTTATTACCTTTTCTCTCTTGTTGTTGGGAACATTTTTCAATGTTCAACATTTTTTTCTTGATGCTCTATAAGAACTGGACGTTTCAGAAAAATGTTTCTCGAAATAGCCAATTTTGGCGCAATTTGGCTGAGTGTTCATCAAAAAGTACAGTTTTTTATTTTTATGTTCAATATTAATTTGTACCAAACCTCTATGGAAAAAGTATTAAAAAAGTGTTCACTTGTCTAATAATTATATAATATTAATTTGTACTAAACCTCGTCTATGGAAAAAGAAAAAAGTGTCTAAATAGTTTATAAGCCCTTTGGTTTTTTTGTTTAATTTATCTATATACCTATTTTTGTATTGTTTTTTTTAAATTAAATAAAAAGACCCCCATAAAAAATTTCTGTACAGTATGTTTTTTTTTTAAATAAATAGCAGGGTTACTATTTACTTCTTGCAAGTTACAACGCAGGGACAGCTGAGCTGACAGGTCGCAGGGTTTGAAAGATGAACGATCGGATAGATATCACACAACAAGAGTGTCACCAACACATGTAAAAAAAAATCGATGATAAAATATTTACAGAATAACACCGTGTGTGCTTTTCTCTAATGAAATGTAGAATATTGTACTTATTGTAAGAGTAAAGTACAGTTCAGAGGTGAACGTTCATAGGCAACTCTTAAGCCTAGTTTTGAGAAGTTATCAATAGCCGTCGCCGACGTGTAGATCAGTCGCTGAAACATTTGCATACTGTCAGAATAATACGTGATCATGACCAAAGCTGCATTTAAACCTAAAACCGATAGCAAACGAAAGAATGATGAATTCACAGGGTCAGACATGACCGGGAAGGGCACGAAGAAGCTGAAAATGCTAACCAATGGGGGCGGAAGTGTGGCGTTGAACCTAGATAGAAAAGATGGTAAGAGCAGCTCGGCTTCGAAAGCGAAGATAACGAAGTCGAGAAAGCCTGTTGCAACGATAGGATCAAATTGGCAATTATTATCACAATCGATACACAAGGGCAAAAGGTCAACGGGAAATGTACCTTCGAAAAGTATTGTAGGAACTAAACCATCGCCTACATGCACGGGCTATGATGTTTCCAAGGAAACTGTGAATGGCAAGCTAGTACACGAGAAAAAACTTGAGGAACCAAATGAGACTGCGACCAGCGACCCGAAGGAAAAACGGAAGAAACTCATAACAGGCAATTTCATGGGGTGGGTAATTATAGATTAGCTTGTATTTTCCTGGCTTCTGTTTTCAGCAATATAATCTCAAGACAAAGACACATGCACATATACATATACGTATACACTTTCATACAAACATGTACGCGGACACACAAACATGCTACACATACACATCACATACACACACATACGCATATACACAGATATACACCAAAAATCACACATACACATAAGCATGAACATACACATACACATATATATTCATATACATACGCATCTACATCGTACTAA